AAAATTTATTATAGTCAAAACTTCACATTCGGTCTTCTTGAGAGAAGGAGTGCTCGGGATAGAAGGTGAATGGTAGCAATTGTCAACAGCGACCACGCGCTGGTAAAGTTGTTGATGGCATTCTCCCTTCGCGGGTTGCTTAGAAACATGTTGATGGGGGTTTGATTCCTTGGCGCGCACCATTATCGGTTTATGGTCGACGTGAGTGAATGAATCGTGGGGAAGACTGACTGTCTTACTAGTGGAGTCGAACCTTCAGTCTACTGTACACCAGCGCTATTTCTTTCTGCGTTACGCTCACTAAGATTTATGTAAATACTGATTTATCATTTGGTTTCCGCAAGGCAAATCTGAAATTTTAAGAATTTTCTTGTGGTATTCCCAATTCTGTGATAGGGACGAATCAAATTCTCTTGATGTTAAGGCGTATCATTTTGATCGGGATGACGTGGGACTCGGAAATGTTTCGAAATGGTTGAAGAAGCAGAGCGACGATGAACGAGAGCATGCCATGGGTCTCATGAAATTCCAGAACACTCGGGGTGGCAGAATTGTTTTGCGGGATATCAAGGTACTTTATACCAGTTCATCAGTTGAACAATTAAATGCATATAAACATCATTTATTTCACACATAACAAAGCTTCCTTTTTCCCTTCTCGAATGCATTTTAATTTCTATAGCTTGTGTTGCTTATTCTTAACAGTCAAAAATAATTATTCATTAAAGAAATTCTTCAATAATTTCAGTCATTTCTTGAGGAAATCTCCACCTTTTCCTCATTTGCCTTCCTTCAGTATAGCTGGGGATGCTTAACTGTTATGATCAGGCCTACATAGTCCTTAACACGTGAAAAATGAATGACTCGTAGTTTGTCTTCAGAAACCTGAGAAAAACGACTGGGGTAATGCAATGGAAGCATTTGAAGCAGCACTGGAACTGGAGAAGAAGAACAATGATGAACTGATAGAACTGCACTCTTTAGCGGCCGAGCACCGGGATGTTCAGACCACGTTGTTCTTGGAGGAGAACTATCTCAAGCAAGGGGTACATTTTTTATCAATTCATTTTTTATGCGTTTTTTGCAGCTATGCAATGCAAAAAACGCATATTGACGAGAGGTTGTCTG